GGTGTGGACTGCCATGTTTAGTGAGGGAACCAGCCTTCTGTAACATGGCATTGTTCAAGCGATGAAGGGACTTGGAGTCCAAAAACTGCCTTGACTACTGGCTTCCCATACCCTGTCCTTGTGGCTTTATCATGCCCCAGTTTCCTCCCTGCCTTTCTGCCCTCCTAAGGAGTGCCATGAGATAGTGACACGGCATAGGTGGTAAGACATCTGCTCCGGAACTCTGTCCTTCCCTGTCCCTTTGTCCTCCAGATAAAGAGTAGTAAGTGAGCCATGTGCAAGGATTAGTGCCCTGGATCAGCCTCCTGTGGGAGTCTTTGCTTCACAGGACTATTCTATTTGCTTTTCTCTCTGTGAAAAATGATGTTTACAGATAGAGGTTCTGTTCCCTTCATAAGTCAGGGAACGTGTGCTTATAGATGGCAGGAGAGCCTCAGCATGTTCATAGCAGGGCTTTCTTGGCTGCTGCTGCTTCTTCCTCCTCTTCTGCCTTCTCTCCTTCATTGGCTTCTTGAAAGCAGCCTAGTGCAACTTAGGCACTAGCCTTCTCTGGGCTTATCCATGTCGAATTTGTCTAGCTACACAACAAACCTCTATAGTGCCTACTCCCCATGACCTATGCAAGGTTTCACACACACCGATGAATCAGGTCCAGTCTTGGTACTTACAATTCACTGCTTGAAGGGGGGGGACACGACCAAGTAACTATGCATGGGGTTCGGTGGGACTGGAGCTGTATGAGAGAGCAGAGAAGAGTGGGTGTGTCTAGGGAAGCTTGGAGGATGAGGAAGTTGGACTTGATGGATGCTAAGACTCTCTTGCCATCCTGCCTAGGAGTCAGACAGGCTGTGTCGAGGAGGTGGTGGGTGGCATTTGATTGTAGCTTCCTCACCAGCTGGACTTCTGCCAACCAAGCTGAACTAGAGGAAGTGTTGACAGCTGGATGGCAAAGGCTGGTTATGCCCTGGGGATATACAAGGGAATCCTCACTTCCTAGTTCCCTAGGTGACTGTTCCAGGGTTGCTGCAAGCTGGTGAACCTTAGGAGGTGGACACCAGGGACCATGAGCTTCATCTAACTCACTCCCTTTTAGAGATAGGGAAACAACTCCAGAGAGGGAAAGTCACTTGGCCAAGTTGACACAAGAGTTGGTGGCACAGCTGGGACTATAAGCTTAAGGCCTGCTGCCTCTACCTGCCCTTTAAGAAGCCTGATCCAGTAGGCATGGTGTAGCATGCCTGTTAGTCAGCACTCAGGCTGCAGCAGAATTGCAAGTTTGAAACCATCTGGGCTTTTGAGACTCAGCAAAACCAAAGCTAGAGTCGGTGAAAAACAAAAGGTAAACAAAACAAACAAAACAAAACAAACAAAAAAGTGAGGCAGTTCCTGCTCTCTGAACAACAGCAGGGAATTAATTTCCACCCCTTCCCAGCTTTCCCCCAGCTTCACTGTGGGGAGAAGAGAGAAGGGACTTGAGACCAGCAGCCTAGGGCAGATGCAAGCCTGAATTTATATCTGGATAGAGTCCCACACTCTGACTGAGAGGCCCGGGCCATGATAACATCAAATGGGGATGATGATGATGATGATGATGGAGTCCCAGGACCCCAAGCTTCAGGAGTACCTCAGGCATCATTCTTATTTCTCTACCCTGCATGGAAGGAGGCCTAGGGGCCCGAATGGCTAGAGCATGGACCTTCTCTTCCTTCCTCAGCAAGTCTTCCTGGAGTACCTGTCTCTAGATTCCAGCCAGGTTCTGTCAGGGCACTGGGGACCTAGATGTGGATCGGAACTGACCTGGCTTCAGGCAGCGTCTGGTCTCATGTGGCATCAACTAATTGTATAGTTTGCACAAGGGAGAGGGGTGTGGGAGCTGAGAGCGAGAACTTCCTTCTCCATCTCATGTTGCTCTCTCCTTACTCTTGTCAAACAGAAAGCTCCCTGGGGTGGCAAGAAAGCCACTGTGGGCTTCCAGGCTTAGGTGGCCCCAGGGAAGAAAAGATTGTACCTCCCTAGAGGACATACTACCCTCGCCATCAGGAAAGCATAGTATGTCAAAGCAGGGAGCCGCTTCTGTGGAGCAGTCATGGTCTCTCTGGTAGGCCTCTCGGGGCTTCCGTTGGAGCCTGGACTTGGGGCCGGCCAGCCAGGCGGTAATGTGGGAGTGGATCTGAGGAATACGCTGCTGTGGAACCCTCCCAACCCTTCCAGGCATCTGCCGTTTCGTCTCTCAGAAACGCACTGGTCCTTCTGGACTATGTTCACCTGTGGCAGGTAGTAGGTGGTTGGTCCAGTGAGGCAGGGTGAGAACAGACTGGGCTGCTTGGATACAGACCTGGAGAGTCTCTTTAGCTTAGCCCTTGTGACCATTGTTGCTGACAGAGATGTTGTCAACCAG